ATCTATTAATTTAACGATACGCATATATTGTCATTTGTAAAGACAAAATGTTTAGCAACGATTTGTGTCTATAAAATATTTTACATAGATCTCTGCACATATGGTGTGTACAGAATCGTATAATTACGGCTCTTTGTCGATATGTCGTTAACAAAGTTGACAGTTAATAAGTAAGAATACAGCAGAATGAAGCATTTTGTTGCGTTATATTGAGCAACATGCTGCTTGTTTACGCTCGAACAACGCGCGCGTTGATGATCGCAATAGTTACAGATCGTATTTGTCAGACTGATAGAGCGCATCAGTCTCGCGGTCCCGCGTATATTTATTCACGGTAGTTATTTACACGCAATTGTGACATCGTGTGGACGTTTCTTGTTGACTGTTATTTTTTGGCGGGAACGCGGGATTATCCCGCGAGGGTAATTAACCGCGAATAAAATGACATCTCGATATATCGACCGATACGTTGCAAAGTGGACTTATATAGTCCTTGTTATCGATCGTACACAGTAGTCGACACGCGAAAAGTCACCGCGCCGCGTCTTGTGAGTGCGCGATGTAGAATTTTTTTTTTTTATTATTTATCAGAACGCGAAAATAAATTTCTACGCGCGTGTCTCGTCAACGATAAATCGCTCGATCGCACTGTACATCGATAGACATGACCGCGCAGCAACAGATGGTGTTATTTCGCCAAAACCGAATTGGCACGTGCGCAAATTTACTTCACGTATGCGTATAACACCTCGGAGGAAATAATTAAATAACGCGTCGACCGATAGACTATCGCGCAGTCGTAACTGTGTAATTGTGTGTGTGTGTGTGTGTGTTTAAATGCCAAAAATTATTTGACAATGTCGCTTTCTATCATCCGACATGCGGTTTCAGAGGAATAACGTAAAGAGATCGCGCCGTGTGTTTCGTTCGCACGAATTGTTTGCCGAATATATTTTTGTATTAATTAAAATTTATACATGTAAATAACGAAAAATATCTCGCGTTTCTTGATTTCATTTTCGCATATTATACAATCGTTTTTAATTTTTTAATTAATGTACACAGCAATATGTTCGCGAGGATAATCGACGCGGTTTACATCAATAAAATGCACGATGCATGAAACAGGCACACGTTGTATAATACCGTACGTATAATTGCCAATTCGCATTTTTTTTTTTCCCAGATTCAATGATACGTATCTATGCATATCCGCAAGCAAGCGAGCAAGCAAGCAACCGAGCGCGAGGGAGAGATTTGCCTGCGCACAAAACAACACACAAATTTCACATGCTTTCTCTCATATGCAAGACGTATTTATGCAGGAAAATATGAATAAATGTGCAACGCGCGACCCAGTTTTTTAAAGCAATTGTTGCGCGCCATTATGCTATTGTTGTATCTTCATGTGTAACGCTCTCTGTGCAGTTACACGCGTTACACAATGAATTCAGTTCGAAACTCGCGCAAAAAAACCTGTGCAATCAGTCGTGTTACGCCGCATGACGAAAACGCGATATGTCTATACGTAAAAGGGAGAAATAATAGCGACAATCGATCGTTGAGCCGCGCGACGTGTAATATTGTTAACGTGCGTAAATAAAAAATTCCGAAATATTCCGCGTTAATATCGTCACGGGCTATGGCCTTTTTTTTTCTGACAGAAGCGCTTTTTGCCTCGCTAAACAGACCGGCGTCCAATTTAGCGGCTACACACCACGAGTATATCGTATATATATATCGAAACTGGCCTGAAACTTCAGTAGATTCCGTGGCGTGACATTGGCGTTAAACGCCATCGACGTTACCACTTCGTTCACGATGGGTGCGCGTGTGTGTGTATGTGTATGTGTGTGTATTAGTATGAATACGCGCGTGTTTGCGCGTACGTGTATCGAGCAAGGTAAAGATGGTGTTGTGAGGACCCTAGAATGTGTGACATCGCTGACTCTGTGACACGGATTCAAACGTTATTTGTCGCGGTAGGCGGTGCCCCCGAAACACCGCTTTAAAGTCGTGCTCGCGGCTAAAGTAAATTTCGCGTGTCCCAAGAGCGGCGCCAAACTACGACTGGATGTTCAGCAATGAGTAAGCGATGCGTGAAGCTACGTCGGTGCAGGCGTCGCGCCCGGGAGCAACCCCTATTTGTATTACGGTACCGCACCGCCATAGCGCATACCGCATACTAAGGTTAGACATATGTACAGTCACGAGTGTACAAATGTCGCAATCTAATATCGCGTTCAAGTCTACCTGTTTCGGAGAAGTGTCTTTTATATATACATATATTCTTTGCGATGAGAAAATTCGCGACGTCTTGATCACTCACGTTCGCGTTTGCGCATGTATAATATATATAATATATATGTATATATAGTATTATATAGTATTATATAATACTCTATATATATATTATATTATAGTATTATATAATACTATATAATACTATATATATATTATACTTATATAATATTATATATAGTGAGGGGTGGGGGCTGAATGAGGGAAGGAGAATGGATGTATGGAATAGTGTGACCGTGGAATTGTATAAATGCGAAGGAAGAGTGTCTGGGAATCCATGGCTGTGTAGATGATTAGTGTTGACTGCCGGAAAGAGGGGTCCATTTAGCGTAGAGTAGGGTTGCGAGTGTGTGTGTGGTATAGAATAGATAAGTTAGTTGTAAGTTAGTTGTAAGAATAGAGAGAGAGAGAGTGTAAGTTTTTTATTTGTATTTGGTTTTTTGTAACCCTAAGGGGAAACAATAAAGATATCTAATCTAAATCTAATCTAGTATTATATATAGTATATTATATATACTGTGTATATATACATATATATATATATAATGTATGTATATAATTGAAACGTTCTGCGTGTGCGCGCAACTTGTAGATTGAATATATGTATTTCTGTCCGGTCAAAATGATTGTATCGACGAAAACATTTGCGATTGCAGGTTTCGTTTGTGTTTTTCTTTGTGAAAACGTTTTAGGCAGCAAACATTTCAAACAATTTATGCGAGAACTCCCCGATATTCGAACGAACGATATACACAATGGAAAGCTCACGGCTTTTAATCGTAACTGCTGGCTTAACCATCCGGCGAATTCGTCGACATATCCGACAGTGAAACAGTTTCCATGTAATCCTCGAAACTCCGTGCTACTCGCTTATTCTATACGCACGTCCGATTACATCCCATCGCCTAGGCGCCGGTTACTTTCCGCTTACGTTCATTCTCATCTAGAAGACCTTCTTTTCTTGAATAAATCACGGCGTGTCTCACGGTCGTGCGACGAACAGTCTCCTTAAAGATCCGAGTCTTATATATCACGGCACTGGTAACAAGGTCGTAAAGCTTTTAAAGCTTGATCTCAATTACTTATACCGATTCAAATATAGAAACAATTTCACCGGAAATGGATAAAAATCTTTATGAGAAGGTTAATTATTTATGCGTCATTAACGTCTGTGTCGTGCTATGTAAATATTGCATATAACCGCTTCCTTTACGTGCATAAAAATAGCTCCGCGACAAAACTCGGCAACTTCGATCGCTCTTGCATATCCAATACCTTAATAATTTTCAGATATTAGTTAATTAAAGAATTACTAAAAATATATGTAAAACATATATATATATATATATATATAATAATATATTATATAATAATTTATTAGATTTAATCTAGTCGTTTGCGCGTCTACGTGAAATAAACTTTTAAGCGCGCACGTCATTAGAGTGATGCGAAGTGCAAAACATTACGACGTCTATATACTTGCCTGTCGTAACTTTGCTGCTAACCAATACGCGTATTTTAGCCGGGGCACATATAGGCGGGCGCGCGCGTGCAGCAGAGCCGTACTTCCACAACAACGGATTGCTCCGTTGGATCCTTACATGCGAAATCCAGAATAGCGATCAATGAGCGGCACGCTGCGAGCAGGACTGGCTCGAAACGGGGGCTGGCACCGAGGGGGAGGTATCGCGGGTGGCTGAAGGTTGGCCGCGGCATTCAACGGGGCTAACTCTATCCTGGCAAATTACATTTCCATCCCGCTACGTGATAGGTGCAGCAAACATGCCCGTCAACGTCCGACCGAGTTTCTCGCTGATTAGTTACACTCGACGTGGATTATATTTCCGAAGCAATTAATTAACAAAGTTCCGGCGGGTCGTGCGTATGTTCGCGTATGGCACTCGTATGACCGTATAGTATACTCGTGGACCGTCGTGTCGCGCGCTGTGTTCGCAGATCGCGAAAGAGAAAGAGCGAGCGTTTCACGTCGGGATACATTCGTATCGGGGAAGAGTGACAGAGGAATGAAATTTCTTGCGGTAGAACGCGCGAGAGAAACCACCATAGGTGGACTTGTCAGGGGTATTACGGTTCGCCCTAATGGAAACTGTCACTGAAATGTCCACGGTAAAGCCGACCAAGTTGACCAATCGCACATTCGCCTACTTGAAACGGATACTGCTGCACATATGTGGAGCGTGTAACGTACCAAATATACGTATGTTTTATTAATAATATTATTTTACGTCGTAATCCACGCTTGAAAAAAGTGTGCGTAATATTGAAAGTACACAAATTAACTATATGTATGAGTTTTTATCAACGTATTTTTAAATATATGTTTTTTGGAGTACTTTTAATTTTTTGAAATAACAAAAACAAAATAAAAATTAAAATATTTTGAGTAACGATGTAAAACTTTTCTGAATTGTTTTTTTGCGTTATTGCACAAATTTGTGAGTAATTTTTAATATACCAAGTCTTAAAAGACTCGAGAAAATAATTTAATGGAACTAAAACCATATCATTCGCACATGAAATATTCGTAATGAACATCATCAACGTTTTCATCAGACTTCTTTCGATGTCTGAGGTGTACCGACTAAAATATATATTAAAATCTTGAAAAAAGTTTGTATTTCTAATGCGTCATCATCTATAACATTCTTTTTAATGGACTTTTATACATTTTTACTCACCGAAGTAGCAATTCCGCTGACGTAAGAGCGTCCCGCGTTTGTTATCCCTCGCGATGGCGCGTCGCTGCACATCCGAGACCACCTCAGGATCGCTCCGATAACGCGCAACGGCGACGCATCTGCCGGTGGAAAATCATCGACACGTCATCGTCTCTCATCTTATCTCACCTCTTTATCCGACTTTTCCTCTCTCTTTCTTTGTCTCTCTCGAAATCGTTCTCCGATCCAAACGATGTATCGAAATTTTCTCGGACAAACAAATTCCGCGCGTTACAAGCGACGAGGGGGGGTGTGACTTTTGTTTCTCCTCTCGTCGTTTAATTGAAACTCGCGCGACGCAACATGCGATGTGCCAAAGGAGGTAAGAGAGCAAGAGGAAGTGAGAAAAGGAAAAGGAAGAAACGATGTTACACACGCGGTTGCCAGTCGCAGACTGAACTCGCGGATCCGCGAGTAGCATCGATTTCGGTGGTGGGGGTAGAACTCGAAGAAGAGGGAGGCAGAGGCACCGTGGAGAGCGCGTAGTAGGGACGGACGGTTGGCGTGAGGGCAGGTGAATCGAGAGACGCGGTGCGCGACGAGAGGGAACAAGTCAGCCTATACGCATATCGCACCGAGCGAGGGAGCAGGTTGATGCTTATATCGTCCTGGCTGGCTGGTCAGTGACTACTCCGAGTAGTAAGCGCCAGGGGTAAGTTCTGCCGAGCACAACTCCAAGCCTCTGACCGTGTCGGAGCTGAAAAGGTTAACACCCTATATGAGCGATACCGACCGCATGACTGACCAGACACGCACAGTAGCTACTTGATCGGGGAGTCGCGTCGATACTTGACGACAGAAGTAAGAAACTTATTATCCTCACGCGTTTTTCTCTCGCATTCTCTCTTCTCGCGCGTCTCGATATCGATATTCATTCTTTCCAAATGACGATCAAACGATGGATCGCGGCATCGTTTGTATTCTATATATTTTTTACAGACTTGCAATTTTTTTGCGATTATCTAGGACGATTATCGCAAGCACTTTAAAAACAAACTGTGAATTCATTTGCGAGATAAATTACTTTTTTTTCTATTCTGCATGATGTGAGATCCGCGGTTAGCTAACAACTTGTCAAGCAATTTGTTTAAGTAGTTCTCAAAAAAACGTTGTAGATAAATTAGTATCGATCTCTTTTCTTGTGGCGTATAAGACAATCAAAAAATTTACATCACGTTGTGTTGCGTGTATTGTTTTTATATATAATTTATGTAATTTTATTATCAGAGAGAAGTGTCAGATATAATTTTTTATATCATTCAATTTTTTTTTTTTCTAATATTCGATTGCCTATAAAAACAAATTGTTTAACTTCCAGTTTACTTTGACATTTTTGTCGCAAAAAATTTATAACGAAACGAATGTTGTTTTACTCATTTGCACATTTACATACGTAAAACTTATTTGAGATATACGCAATAGGTTTTAGTATCATAATATTAATTAATATTAAACATATCACAGAAGTCGGCGTATGCGAACTCGAGCCAATTATATTGATTTATATCTCTCTCTGAATGTCGAACTTTTTTGCAACGTGTTTATTATCGCGAAATTGAGAAATATATTTGCATCGCATAAAACGCTTTTCGCTCATGTGTATTTTATTTTATTTCAAATTTATTCTGTATGTAGAAAAAATACCGTAATCGATTGACCCCAATATGCGCGGTACTTGAATGGATCCGCTAATGCCAGGGTTTGTTCGTTTCAATTGTAGATCGACGCGTGGCAGTGACGATAATCGTTTATCAACGACGAATTCAACGTTGACCATGATTTATACGATAATAAACATCTGCGAATTTACCTGCGAGTCGTAAATAATAATAACGTTGACACACGGAGAAACACCGTAACTATACAATTAAAAAAGTATATTATAACACGGCAAGTATAAGATAGTCACATAGTTTTTTTTAGTCTGTTTTCGTTCGTTGTTTGTAACATTTTATTCGTTCGCGAAAGCAATACTACGGTTCTTCTGTGTTTTGTTTCTCATCGTATTTACCGTATGTTTTTCGTCAACATAATATTAACGTAAGTTTTCTCTTTCTCTTTTTCTCTCATCACACACACACGCACACACTGTCAACAAACGCACTTTCATCCGATTGATAGAATCTTATCAGTAATACACGCGTCACGTAAACGTGTTGGTGCAATGTAATCAGGGATGAATGAACAAGCACAAAATAGTTACGCTGTCACTCCTGTTTTTTGGGATCTAATACGCAACGCGCGTGTGTAGATGGTAAATTTTAATTACGTACTTTACGAAAATAAGCAGAAAAGGGCGACTCACGTTTTTCTTCGATCAGTGCGTCGCGTTATCATGCCGTGTTGTTGTTATAGAATATGAAATCGTGTTGTTATTATTACACCGGGGAGTTGGACATTTACAATCTAACATAAATTATTTTTTGTGACTGACTTATAACCTTTCGGATTTTCTGAAAGACACAAATCACGAAATCATATTGACATTGACAAGTTTTAATGCTTTCTTCTTAGCAGTCTCTTTTCTATTTTATAATTATACTTCGCTATAATATCATATGCACATAGTAAGCTTTTTATTACTTACTTATTTAAATAACTTTTAGGGAGGGAGTGTTTTGTCCTTCGAGTATTGTTTTGTTTTCTCTCTTTCTCTTTCTCTTTTGCTTGTCTCAGAAGCTAATGATAAATCGTTCACAGACACGCAATTCTCAACAATGACTGCACGTTAATATGAATTGTGTGTACACGCATCACATAAAGCGCAAGTACGTCTTCAAGAGATTTATACTTGACAATTTACTTATTTAGTGTCTGTTCTCGTGAATTTATTGATTGGGAGACTCTTCAATAAATAAATTCATTTAAATTTCTTGAGTGCGTTTCTATTGCTAACTTTTATTATTTTATATTATTTAAGAAAAATATCTTTATAAATATTTTATTTGTAGAAAAAAATATACTTGGATGTAGATCGTGCTTTTACAAATTTCAAGCGACTCTCTCATATCTTATATATATATTCTTCGACGATAGAAATATTTAATTTTCTCCTTTGTGTACGCGACTCTTATTTATTCGACTTATCGAGACAATATATAAGAAACGATATTTGTCAATTTGCAACAATTTGATTGCTCTCAATCAAAAAAGAAAACTTACCGGCAAGCAAAACTCAGTACTGAATCGTGCATCAGCAATGGGTGCACCGTATAATCGCCCTATAATTCCGGGATCGATACATGACGGAAAGAGACGGGACGCACTGACATCAGCCGGTCAATTAGGTATAATGCGAAGAAAATTGTACGTAATACTACTAGGGGACCGCCAGTTAAATGCTTTATGATGCAATCGGACCTCGTTGTTGAACACGAGACTTTAAAACTAAAGAGAACACAAGCAGATGGTTGCAACACGTATTGCTTGAACATTATTTAAACAAATGTGTGTAATCAAAAAATAAAAACTAGTTAGACACAGATAAATAAAATGACCAATCCGGTGAACCTGTGGTCTCGGTACGAGATTTACAGTGTGGAAGTTAATTGCCGCAAACAGGTTTTTGATAAAAACCTGTAATTTATTAAAATAAAAAAAAAAGCAAAAAGGGAAATTGATGTTTAGTCTAATAGAAATATCGTTTCTGCGAGATAATATGTTTGACAGGATAAAACTACTTCATCGAAATAATTAAAATGTTCGTTAATGATAACGCGGCCATTATACTGATTAGATGACATTGTCGGCGACAAAGAGCTGATATTGGTTCATAATCAGACCAACACCTTTCCCTCGCTCCAAAAATGAGCAGAGAAAAGTCGATTAATTTCAAAATTATGCAAATTCTTGTTAGCAGGATGTGATGGTCGTTCAACATGGCCGCTTATTGATCTAAAGTGGTGTAATAACAAGCTTCTATATAATCCACGGCAATTATTTTTTAATTGATAGTGCAAAATTAATCAGAATGTCGGTGACTTCAACATATCGCGTAAATCCTCTTAATAAATTGCATGATAATTAATTCATACAACGTGTACAGGCAAGCGGTGTCAAAGCTTTTAATACCGGTCATAATACGAATTGGCGAGCATTTCTAAATTGTTAATAAAGTTAACCGGGATTAACCTCGAATGTATTTCCTAGTTTTCGTTACGCGCAATTCATTTTCCGATTCCATTTCGAATTAAGCGCTCACGTGTCGGGAGTATCCTTGCGAATAATTTCTCATCCGATAGTAAAGCGGATCGCCTTACTATCGTTGGCTTACTATGAGAATGTGACACTGCACTTCGTCACTAAGAGTACAGGCAGTCGTTAAGCCTTGTTCCAAGCATCGCGTTGCTCCAGTGTCCAATGAAATATTACAATGTACGATGAAAACTTGAACCATTCACAATTAGATTGACACATATAAATATATGGCGTTATATGTACAATCCTATTATATTTTAAGTTTTATTACATGAGTTTCACAGAATAAATTAGTGTGACAATAATTTATATCTCTTTAGTTTTTAAAAAGTAAAAAGTAAAGTAAAGTCTTTAGTTTTTGTTTTTCATCTCTAAAATATAGACAATTTCTATTTGCTTCACGTCTGATTTTCTTATGATTAATTCATAACGGATTCGAGCGTTTTGTTAAACTAAGTATTTTCACTTCTCGTTCAAACTTCTCGTTCTTATCTTGCGAGAAATGGCGCGAAGCGACTGAGAAGCGGCTACCGATGCTCGAAGGTCGAATTTCTGCGAAGATTTACTTTCACAACAGTCGAGCTCTAAAAGCGGCGGTCTTTTACCATTTATTTTACGAAAAATAAGTAGTAGTCGAAGGTGTTGATTTAGATAAATAGAGAACAGTTCGATAGAGCGAACGATACAAGCCATAAAGAAAGAGCGAGCCATAAAACAAGGGAATTACTGGCAAAGTGAATGTATCCGGCGAAGAAGCCGGAGGAGAGAGTCCGTGGAGGTAAGATCGGCCGAACAGAACCAGAGGCGACTAACGTGTTAGCACGAAAACGGTGGACGATGGTCCGTCGCACCATGTGCTAACTTAACCGAGGGATTATGAGCTTAGTTAATGGATACCTCTCGTATATACAGTGCACAGTGACCGGTGTGTTAGCCCTACGGCCCCGAGATATGGTGCCTCTTAGTGTGCTCGATGGATTTCCGAAATCTTTCGTAATAAATGCCCGGGCTATGTGACACCGGAATCGCCGGGGCATTTCGCGGCCCTCGGGTCGTTTATGGTCTTCGAAATTAACGGTCTATAGCAAATATCGATTTTAGATTAGCTCGTAAGGGCCAGCCCCGAATTTCTAGTAAGGTTCGCCATTGCCGCCGATGTTTATGATTGAAACAATTTTGCCGC